AAAAACATCATCTTGTAGGGAATCATCAAATTGGATATTACAAAAATGGTCTCTATTGACGTAAACACACAGACACACACACAGAGACACACACGCACACACACACACAAACACATTTTATTTCTTTTAACTATGCCTCCAGAGAACTCAGTATACATTGATTGCTCACCACACATCCTTCTTTTGAAATCCCAGATACATATTAAGAAGGGATATTTTAACTGAGCATAAAAAGTGAATGTAAGATGGAAAATATAGCCTCTTGAGACTAATTGACCTGAACTTGAATGTGCTATACTATAAATACCAATTTCCTTTTGGTTTATTCACTTAACAATATATCCAATCAAATACTCCATATCAATTTATGGAGATATTCCAAAATATTTTATAGCTGCATAGTCTTTCTTTGAGAGAATGTACGATAGTTTCACTGCTCTCCCATGTGTGTCAAAATTGTTTCCAATTTTAACAGTTAGAATGTACCAATGAATAAAATGATGCATATGTATTTTCAAAATGTGTTTTAATAAAACATAATTTTTATAATGCTGAAAGTTATATTAGACCTTTATGGTAAATTCCTAAAATTGTAATTGCTGAACCAAAAACAAATCCTGTATGTTTTTTGTTATCTACTACTGAATTGTTCTCTACATGCATTCTTTCAATCTCTGTCAATGTGTTAAGGTTTCTGTTCCTCAACAATCTCAAAAATAAAGTGGATTTCTATAGTTTAAAAAGTTTGGCTATCTCATGGGTGAGAAAGGGTAACTCAGAATCATTTTACTTTGCATTTCTAAAACTATCTGGGGGTGTGTATCATTTCATAAATTGAACAGCCATTTCCTATGTATTAACATATTTGTGAATTGTCTATACAACATCTTTTGCTCATTTTTCTTTTTCTTTTTTTCTTTTTTTTTTGAGACGGAGTTTCACTCATGTTACCCAGGCTGGAGTGCAATGGCGCGATCTCGGCTCACCGCAACCTCCGCCTCCTGGGTTCAGGCAATTCTCCTGCCTCAGCCTCCTGAGTAGCTGGGATTACAGGCACGCACCACCATGCCCAGCTAATTTTTTGTATTTTTAGTAGAGACGGGGTTTCACCATGTTGGCCAGGATGGTCTCGATCTCTTGACCTCGTGATCCACCCGCCTCGGCCTCCCAAAGTGCTGGGATTACAGGCTTGAGCCACCGCGCCCGGCCCTTTTGCTCATTTTTCTATCAGATTTCTATTATTTACATTTAAAAGGTTCTTTATATGTGGAGAATATCAACCTTTAATCATAGATATATGAGCAAGTATTTTCTCCTAGTTTGACAGTGACTTTTATTTTTATGATGTATCTGTGTGCGTGCTATAAAAAACTCTCCTATTTTTATGCTGTCAAATCTTTTGTTTTACTGTGTTTGGATTTTGAATCACAGCTGGAAATCCTTTTCTTACAGCTAAGTAAAATAGGAATTCACCCCTATTTTCTTTTAATAGTATTTTTAATTTTTACATTTAGCTTCTCGATCAATTTGAAATTTATTTGTATGTATTATGCAATACATGAGCCTAAATTTATCTCTTTCCAACTTGCCTATCAATTTTTTAGTAATGTTTATTAGAAAGTCTTTGTTCCTGTGATTTGATATCCTTATGATAAGCAAAATTTTATATGTAAACATGTCTATTTCTAAACTTTATTCTATTCCACTTGATCTGACTACTAATGCTCCCATACCCTGATATTTTCTTTGCAGATATTTTACAGTATGTTTTTATACCTAATAAATTGTAGTTTCTCCTTTTAGCTTTTATTTTCCTAGTGTTTTATTATGGCAGTACATGTATAATTTTTTACCTTTAATGTAATTTCAACCAGCTTCACTTTGGAAAAAAAAGGCTTTTTAGTATTTTTATATTGAAGCATTAATCAAAAACCTCCCAACAAAGAAAAATTGAATCGGAGAGAATATTTCCAAAGCCATTTTATGAGTCCAGCATCACTCTGATACTAAGGACAGATGAAGAAATCATAAAAAAAAAAAAAAGAAACCCACAGGCCAATGTCTGATAAACATATATGCAAACATTCTTAATAAAGTACTGGCAAACTGAATTCATTAACACATCAATAAGGTCACCACAACCAAGTGGAATTTATCCATGACATGCAAGGCTAAATATACGCAAATAAATCAACACAATACATTATATTGACAGAATGCAGGTTAAAAAAACACACAATAATATCAATTAATGCAAGAAAATAATTTGACAAAGTTCAACATCATTTCATGATAAATATTATCAACAAATTATAGAAAAAATTTACTTAGCATGTTAAAGCCCATTTATGAAACACCCACAGCAAATATGATATAAGCTAGTGCAAAAGTAATTGTGATTTTTGCCATTAAAAGTAGTAATGAAAACAGCAATTACTTTTGCACCAACCTAATCGTTAATGAGGAAAACCTAAAAGGATTACTTCTAAAATATGCCACAAGCCAAGGATGCCTACTGTCACCATTTTGATTACTATAGCATTGTAATAAGGAAGTATGATGTCTCTAATTTCATTTTTCTTTCTAAAAGTTGGTTTGGCTATTTAGAGTCTTTTGTGATTCCACAAGACTTTTAGAATAGTTTTTCTACTTCCATGAAAAATACCTTTGGAATTTTGATAGAGACTTCATTGAATCTGTTTATTGCTTGGAGTATTATGAAAATTTTTACAATATGAATTCTTTCAATGCATGAACAGGAGACATCTTTTCATTTATTTGTCTCTTCTTTAGTTTCTATTATCAACATTTTATAGTATTCAATGTACAGATCTTTAAAAAATCTCGACACTTATCTTACAAAAAACCAACTCAAAATGGATTAAAGACCTAAATGAAAAACCTTAAATCTTAAATTTCTAAAGGAAAACATAGGAAGAAAGCACTTTTATATTGGCCTTGGCAAAGGTATTTTTTAGATATGACACCAAAAACACAGCTAACAAAAGCAAAACTAGACAAGTGTGATTGAATTAAACTAAACAGCTTCTGTACTGCAAAAGAAACAATTTGCAAAATGAAAAGACAACCTACAGAATGGGAAAATATTTGCAAACCATATATTGATAAGGGGTTATTATTTAAAATCTATAAAAATATACCGAAAGCAAGAAAGCAAATAATTTTAAAATGGGCAAAAGACTTGAATAGACAGTTCTCATAAGACATGAACATGACCAATAGGCATATGAAAAGGTCATCACTAATCATCAGGTAAATGTAGATCATCAGGTAAATGTAGATCAAAACCCCAATGATATATTTTACCTCACAACTGTTAAGATGTCTACTATTATAAAGACAAGCAGTAACAAGTGTCAGTGAAGGTATGGCACATTGTTTATGGGGATGTACATTGGTGCAACCATTATAAAAACCTGTAGGGAGGTTATTCAAAAATTTAAAAGTAGAATTGCCACATGATCCCCCAATCTCTCTTCTGGGTATATGACCAAAAGAAATAAAATAAACACCTCATATAGATATCTGCACTCTCATGGTCATTGCCACACTATTCACAATAGCTAAGATATGGAAACAACCTAAGTGAATATGGATGGATGAATGGAAAAAGAAATTCGTTACACACACACACAGAAATAATATTGTCATTTGTGATGACATGGAGAAATTTAGAAAACAGTATGCTAAGTGAAATAAGTCAGACACAGAAAGAAAAATACTGCATGATATTATTAACACTTATTATGGAGCAGAACAGTGGTTACCAGGGGTGGTAAGGGTAAGGAAATGGAGAAATGTAGGTCAAATGGTGCATATGTAGAATGAATAAATCTAGAGGTCTAATGGACAGCAGGACTACATATATGTATATGTTCTAGAAGTTAACTAACACTATAGGAAATGGAAATGAAAAAGTAAGTATACTTAAATGACAGAAGAAAATTAATCAATGTTTAAATACCCATTTTACCTAAAATCATATTTATAACCCAAATATCTTTCAAGATCTAATTTATTTTAAAAATTCTACAAACACCTGTGTAATTATCCAGTTAATTACATACTGGACAATTACATATGTATTTTTCTCCCTGACTATATTTTGTTCTGGCCCTTTAGATGTCATTTTTCAGGCATATTTTCTTCCAGTCAAGATCCACGATTTAAAAAAAATGAAATGAAAAGAATATGGCCTAATACACACACATTTGTGAAAAAATTTATGAAATAGAATGTATATCTGTGAAAATATTTTCTAATTTTTTATTTAAAAAATCTCTGGTCATCACACAGAAATTAATTTCTAATCAAATCTGACCTATAGCTAGAATGTCTCCTTAAGAGACAATTTTAATTCTTCTATTTCCCTTGTCTCACTGATTGGAACTATTATCTATCTATGCAAATATCTATATCTATGTATATCATTCACATATATATATTTGACATTTATGTTAGAAAATAAATTCTGAAAAAAGCCACATTAACATTGATATTATTTAATAATCATTCACAAATTCAATAATCATTCACAAATCATACACATTTTTAAATGAGCCTCAACACTTATGATCAACTATGTTATAATATCCTTTTAATTTCCTTAAATAGAATATATACCAATAAGTTGGTAGTATGACAAAAATATAAATAAATATTAGTTTTAATTTGGTGATAACTAATCACAAGTAAAAGAAAATATAATAACCTTGATACATCAAATTAAATTTCAATGAAATAATATTTTATAGTCTTGATTAACTGGAATGCTTAAAAGTCAAATGAGATATGTTGAAAATGCAGCTCAATTTCTTTTAGATGTCTAAATAAAAAGAAAGTAAGACATAAATAAAAACTACCTATCATAAAGAAGTGAAAGAAAATTAGCTTCTCTAAAACAAAAAAATATGAAAAAAATAAAGTTTGAAAAGACATAAAGATAAATATTAAAGCAATAGAAAGAAAAAAAGGGAGAATTCTGTCATTGAAGCTCCTACTGTATTCAGTGACATTATTTGAGACTCCTTTCTTCATGTCCTTTATATAATACAATTGAATGCTCATTTCCTTGAGAAAGAGATAATCCTGTACATCACATTCATGAAGGCTTTTTTCACTTGTTGGTTTCTTAAGGTGTAGATGAAAGGGTTCAAAAGTGGAGCAACAGAGGTATTGAGCACCGAAATTCCCTTTGAAAAAGATACCCTTTGTTTGACTGATGGCTTAACATACATGAAGATGCAGCTGCCATAAGAAAGGGATATCACAATCATGTGAGACGAACATGTGGAAAAAGCCTTTTTCCTCTGACTAGTTGAAGGGATTTTTAGAATTGTCAGGGCAATATAAGTATATGATATTATCACCATTACCAATGTGACTAAGAGTGTCACCAACGCTGAGATGAATCCCATCCTCTCCAGGAGCTGCGTGTCTGTGCAGGAAATCTGCAGGAGGGGGGTAGTGTCACAGTAGAAATGATCAACGACATTGGAGGCACAGAAGTCAAGATTTAGCCCTAAGAGGAGTGGTGGAAAGATGACGAGAAAACCAAAAACCCAGCACCCAAGCACAAGCTGCAAGCAGATTTTGCTGCTCATGATGGTGGTGTAATGCAGTGGCTTACAGATGGCCACATAGCGGTCATAGGACATGGCTGCCAGCAAGTAAAATTCTGATGCTCCAAGTAGGAAGGCAAAAAACACTTGAGTGACGCAACTGTTATAAGAAATGCTTTTGTCCCCAGTTGCCATAGTAACTAGCAATTTAGGGATGCATGTAGTAGTATAGGAAATCTCTAAGAAGGAAAAATTCCGAAGGAAAAAATACATGGGAGTTTTAAGGTGAATATCCATCAGGGTGAGTGTGATGATGATCAGATTGCCAGTGATGCTTAGCACATAGGTGAGAAGCAGAAAGATAAACAACACAACTTTCAATTCTGGGTTATCAGTCAAACCTGCTAGTATGAACACTGTCACTCTGGTATGGTTTCTCATTACCGTCCTCTGAATTTTACCAGGTCTGAATAGAAAAAAAAGTAATAATTATCTCTAAAGAAAAATAACAGTGATCACAGTGTTTAAGCTAACGTTAGCAAAGTGAGGTTTCAGATACAGCATTACAATGTTCATTAATATTTTCCAGATGCTTAGGCCAGGAAGAATAATAATTTGTGTTTCCAAAGGATTTGGATAGAGAATTAAAACTTTGCCACCCAAGTATAATCTACATAATGATAGTAATTGATCATTAATTTTATGTGTATTAATTATAGGGAAATTAAAGGATAGACAATGCTTTTTCTTTCTTGATGACGTGCAAGAATTTGGATGGCATGCCACTTCTTGCTCAAAGAAGTTTAATTGAAGAAAAAATTTTTAAAATTCGCATATGAAACCCCAAATGATACCTCTCATTAGAAGTACATGTATCCATATTTTGCACTTAACATGCACACACACATACACACACAAACACACACAAACCTAACCATCATTGGTAAACAGTGCTAGTATACCTTTATCATTTTACTCAACTAATCAAACTAAAATGCTTAAGTCCTGTCTTATTTACTTTCATTTCTAGTAAGATCCAGTCTCAGATAAGTGACAATGAGGCACAGGGAATGATTTCATTTGCTATTCTTACTAGTATTTCCATCACCTTAATCTCTATTGGTACCACCCCAAGCTTTCTCATACTGAACCTCAATACCAAATCAACAGAAGCAGTCTAATAATGTAAGTGTGTGTAGAAAGCTGCAGTTTTCCTCTGAGGTTTTGCTCTTGAGAATGGACCAGATAAAGTGAAAAGTGAGGTATAGGAAAACAGAAGCAGAGACAAATATATAAATATGGATTTAGGAAATTACATGTTGTGGGAGAAGTAAAGACAAAGCTGTATGAAAACCTAGAGAGATAAGAAAGATTTTAGAGATAGGATAATGAAATAGAGGAAATAATTAAATGAAGATTAAAATATGTAAATTAGTAAAAATTATGAGTGAAATTTTTACCAATAAAATTTCCCTGTGTTTCTCTTTCATATTCTCACATTTCTTCTTTGTGTAAAATAGAGATTGAAAACATGAAAAGGTTTGAATTCATCATGGCCTTATAAAAGGAATATTTGATAAATTACAAATGCATAATGAATTACTGAATAGTGTTGACATAAAATTTTAGGAGGCATATAATGTTGTTCAAATATCCATCTAATATCCAATTAAAGAGATAATAAAAACAGTTAATACTTTTCCACATCCAGTATATGTGATAAGTGAGAAAGTGAGATCAAGAAACAAAATTGTTCGGGTTTACACAGCTAGTAAATTTGAGATCCATGATTAAGATTGAGTTTATTTTCCAAAATGTCTTCTGGTATACAAGCAATTGTATACCAGACTATAGTGCATTTCCTAAAACAAAATGATTAATGATATATCTAAGGATAATTTTCTTCCTGGGCATTTTAATCATCAAACACATGAAACAAGCCTATGTGATATGCATGACATTATATAGGACTATGTTTTCTGTGGTGAAAATATCAATTTGTTTCCAATCACAGAAACATACATTATTATTAAGAAGACAGACACGTCAGTAAAAATAAACATATAAAAACAAGTAAAATCTGTTCCAATAATATCTAGAGAAGTTTACAGGAGGTAATTTGGATTCTAAGATAGGTCTTAGAGTGAGATAAGGAATCAAGACAAGATATTCCCAGGAAAGGGAAAGCCTGAACAGAAACAGAGGAAACGGCACATGCATGAATTCATTAGAAACAACGATAGTATTCTGCTTTTAAAACCATGCGTGTTAATAATGCAGGTATACATGAGTGACATGAAATGACTGTGATTTTTTTCCTGGACATTTCTTTCACATTCAGATAATTATAAAGCAATCTGTCACAAAATTTTTCTTGTTTATACAAATTGCCCTGGGGGGGCAATCATTATAGGAATCCATATATCCAAAACACCTAAATCAGAGTTTTATCATGTTAGACCATTCCTTTGACCAACTTCAACAATCATACATATCAACTATTCCCCAACAACACTGTGAACATAATGAAATTCACTTTATAAAATCAGTAGAAGTCAGGTCTACAAATGCAATTTAAAGGTTAAGAAAAGAGAAAAGATTAAGGCTTTAATGCTAAAATTAGAACAAACCTTAGTCACAACTTATCTAGAAGGAAATATTGCCTTTAGCTTTTAGAAATATTAATTATTTTTTACCATTTGGAGTTACATAAGTCTTCAAAATTTTAAAATAAAAACATTTATGCAAAACACGCAAAAATTATTAAAGGTATAGACAGAGATTTATTTAGACAAAAGCATCTCTGCTTTAATATTTAACTCCTTTATCATTAGGCTGAATCAAGCATATTGATACTACATTTCTCTCTGAATGAATCTCTCTGTCCCATAATCTATGATTGTTATTTCTCACCTATAAATGGCAATCTTGGAAAATGGTTTGTTCAGCTATTTTATTGCAGTTAGACTAGTGTATTAAAATTCCTCTTGACTATATGTTAATTATCTATGTATTGAATGTTTTCCTAAGTAGTATTGCACTGTATGTAATACTAAAATTAAAAATTTACATAAAATTAATCCACATAAAATTGCCACATAAAATTAATCAACTCTTGATCCCTTGGAGTTTTAATGCTTTCTGTGCCCTGAAGAAAAATAAAGATTATGAAGGACTCTCAGGAAAATATCAGATCGAAGAACACCATTTCCCAAAGGATGATCATTTTATGTGTTACTCAGATGTTCTCTTGAGGCTCTGCATAACTTTAAAAACAAAATACATATTTAAAAATAACTACTTTAAACTATGTATCCAGAGAAATCAGTGTAGATTGCCCCAATGTGTTTGCCCTCCCATCTCCATGATTTGAAATCCCAGATATATAGATGAGGATTTGGAAGCATTATATAGTACCAGTATTCATCAAAGTGTATTTTTAAATATGACACTGTTTCTCAAGGGAAATTGGGCTATTTTGTGCATTAACCACAAATAATAAAAATGTATTGTGCCTTGCTTTTCTTGTTTAAAAGGTTGAAGCTTGAAGCTAAGTATACTTACACTTATAAACATTATTTAGCTTAATTGAAATATTACATTAACCATTAACAGACACAAAAAAGAAAAAGTTATTTTATGTGAGACTAAAACATGGGAATATAAAATGGAGAACACAGTCTGTCATAGACAAAATTCTACCTCAAGCTAAATGCACATCACTAATTCATCAGGTACAACTGAACATTTCATGTCCTATGTAAACTTGACTTTCTTTTCTGCAAGTTATATTTTCTGCAGTCTTTGGGATATTGTCTAGTGGCCTGAAACATATTTAACAATAGATAATCATTTTCCACTTCTTCCATATTAATAGAAGTTTCCATGCCCTTGCCTTTGGTGCAATTTATGGTGGCCATGTGGCTAAATTTTGGCCAAGTGATGGAAACATAGATGGTTTGTGCCATTTCCTGGAATCATCCTTCATGTTCTTGTTAGAATCCCTTTTCCCTTACAGGTGGATGACAATATAGAGGAGGCCCTAATGTGCACACAATGCACCCAATTCACAAATGGGGAACCCCAAGCATAGTTAATTGCCAATCTTTTTACAGACTGCTTGCAAACCTGCCTAACTTTTTCCCACTAGAAGACATTAATACTCTGGTCAGTAAAAAAGGAAGATACCACTCAAAGGTGGCCGCACAATGTAGAAAACCAATTCAGAAAGGGTAAGTTTATGTAAAATAGGTGAAGGAGGATCAATCAGAGGAAAGTGTGCCAAATGGGAAGATAGGTTCTCAATTCAGTCCAAGGATTTAACTTGTAGCTTGGCATTTCAGGCATTAAACTGTCTTCGGCTTGGAGGTGGGGTTTCACTGGGGACGTGCCCCTATCTGCCTAGGCATTTGACTGCTTCCTGTCACTATCAAGTGGGAGAAAGAAACACGCAGGTGGTGTAATAGTACCATATTGTCTCTGTTATCCTGACAGAGCCATCTGGTAAAGTATGGAAGACCCAGCAGTCAACTAAAATTAAGGCTTCTGCGGCATTTGGGGAGACATACAGTGGAAGTTTTCTTCTGAAGGAAGGGCCCAGGATTCATCTTAGAGGCAAATATTACTAATACCTCTCTCCATGGCCCCTGAACATCTAAGGTGTTTTCTCCTCAGATGCCAGCTTTTTCTCTACCTATACTTCCTTCAAATCCGAGTTCTCCGTTCCAGTAGCTATAGCTTCACCTTTTTTTTTTTTCTCCCCATCACACCCTACTCATATTCAGATCTTTCACCTAGAAGAGTCAGATAAATGAAGAAAAAGGACATTTTAAAAAATTTTAACAAGTATTAAACTTTCATTTCTTAGGCCTCCTTGTGTCCCAATTACCACCTGGAAGGTTTGGCACCAGGTTTATCTAGATTTGATCTTAGGGAAAAGAGAGTTACATCATCCTTTGAATGACTGAGATGGAATCTTGAATTTTCAAAGTAAGTCTATATATTTCCCAACCACTTTTATCTTGATCTTTACCAAAAAGATGAGTAGCCAGGTCTGGGGACAGTTGCATTCAATGGCCATATTGCTTTACTTAGGTGCATGAATCAGGAAGAGATGAGTGAGGCAGAGACTATTAGTCCTTGCTGAATAGCTTGGACAATAAAAGTTGTCAAACTCTAGATCTTCTGAGGATCTAAAGACGTGACACAGATACGTGTCAAAGATCACAATTGTGTACCATAGTCAACTAATCAGTAACCTGAAACAGCATCTACCTGGCGAGGCACTACCAATAGACCCAAGGTAATCAGGTTGCCAAAAGCAGGAGGAGGCAACATTCCTTGCAATGCGGCCTACCCCAGCATGAGAAAAGCAGGTCAACTTTTGATGGGAGCTGCAAATACATCATGCAATGATAGGATCTGCATTAGAAGCATAGAGCCCAACTCAATCAGCAACCT